GAATCGCTCATGTAATCAAATGTACTACTGAAAACTCAATAAAGCATTTGTCCGTCAGTTGGACTTAATAAATAAATTACTTTATAAGATAAAAATCTTTTTATAAGAAATAAAGTCAACAAGATTTTTATATATAAGTAATGATAAATTGATATAAAATAAATATATCTAATACAATGAAAAGCCTTTTAAAAAAGTTTAAATTACAAGTTTAGCATTATATTAAAACTAATATCTTAGAAAGAACTTAATAAAGAAAAAAGGAAAGTTTAGACAAATAGACTTTGAAAAACTTTTGAAAAACTAATATATAAAGCAATCACTAATAAACTTACAATTAGAAAATTAGTTTTATATAAAGAAAAAAGATACAAATATAGTTCAAAGTTTATTAGATATAGAAAAATATTATTATTTAAAGAATTTTTCAATAAGACAGGAGTATCGAAAGACATAACTAAACTATAGATTTTTAATTTAATTATAGTAAAATATAATCCTATTTATAAGTCTAATTATCAAATTAAAAATATTTATATTCAATATAACATTTTAATATGTCTTAGAAATTCCTATAAAAATATATTAAAGATATAATAAAAGGTCTAAAGTTTATATATCAAAGTTTAAAAGTCCAAAAAATAAGAGATACTATTAAAACCACTTTAAAACAATAATAGAATAATTTGAGAAACAATTAAAGACAAATATCAATTCTCTGACAAATCAAGTTAGAAATAAAATAATATTCAATAAGGTCAAAATTAAGCAAGACAATATTAAATATATAATAATACAAAAAATCAAAATTGAAGAAAAAATAAAAAAATATTATTAAAAAACTTTTAAAAGAAAAAAACCAGTAATAACAGTCTATCAGAAAATTGAAAAAAAGTGTATAAATCTAAAAAGTATATTAAGATAACTTGATATAAAAAATTATATAAATTAATTTCTTAAAAAGATTCAAATAAAATATTTAATATACTTCTAAATAATAATATTTAAGAAGATTCTAAATTAATTAAGAAATAATAAAAAAATTAAGTTAAAAGAAAAAAGAATATTTGAAAAAAATGTTTAATAACTTTTTGAAATAAAAAGTTAATCTAATATATTAAAAATAAATTATATATATTCTATGGTTAAACCAAAGTTATAAAATTGTAAACTTTCAAATATTAGATTTATAGTTTTACTAAAAATTACAAAAATATGTTTTATTCAAATTTTTAATAACAGTATAAAAAATATTTGCAAAATTGACAATACTTGGTAATTTCAATTATATAGAACTATCAAAAGAAAATATAATAAAATCAATCTAAATTCTCAATAATATTTATAAAGATATCAAAGAAAATAAAAAAGAATTATAAATATTTTTCCAGGATATAATCAAAGTATATGATCCAATTAGCTTAGAAATATTGATGAAAGAAATAAAAAGAATCAAGATATTAGAAAACTTTATTAAAATTATAATAAGTTTGTTCTAAAATAAAAAATTTTAGATTATATTTAAAAATAATTTTAGAAAATTAATAAAAATAAGAGATGAAATAGATCAAAGAAAAACTATCTTGTCCTTATTATGAAAATTTTTTTACAATTCTTTGCTTTACAAAATTCAAAATGATATACAAAAAAGATATAAAATATTTGTTACTTAAATTTTGATCAAAAATAATATTTTACTAAAAGATTAGAATTGAGATATGTAGTCATAACCTTTATAAATAATATTATATAAATTATAAATAGTAAGATTCAAGAAAGAAATAAAAAAGATTTTAAAAATTACAAGAATTTTTTATTAAGCCAATGACTTTCAGATCAATAGTAATAAGTCAGTCTTGATAACTATCAAAAAGTTTAAGCAGGTATAAAAAAAAGTAATCGAAGAACTCAACAGAACAGATCAAACCAGATTCATTAGAATCTGCACAAATAGTCAAAAGATTAAAATTGAATCTAAAGAATAAGTGCTTAAAAAGTTAATACAGTAACTAGAGCTCTTAAAAACAAAAGAGTAATAGACAAATAAGCTCTCTACATTTTAAATAAAGTATTAATATTCAGTATAGAATTTAGAATATATTAGATAAAAAATTTTTTTTCATTTTAATCTACAAATAGAACTTTTTTTCTTTACTGTCATTTAATTTTATCGATAAGCGATTTCCGGTAATTTAAGGGGGATGTGTGTATAAATTTGGTACCCGAAAATCATGGATCCTAACCTCTCACCCTCAAAAATTGTACTAACGTTTTTTTCGCCTTCAAAAAGAATTACCCATATACAATTGAAATTTCCATGTAAGTATCTATTCACAGTAATTGGTGAAATAAATCATTGTTTTTATTCATTCCCCCATAGCTTTCAACTTTCCTAAATTAATTTACGCGCTAAGTATAAGAAAAAACATTTCTGGTTGATTAAAAGCAAACGCCTGAAGATCAACCTTAACGCTTAACGCTCACGTGAATTGTTGATGACCAGAATTAAAATTACTATTAAAGTTACTATGAAATGATCGTCAGAAGAATACATTATTTTTTTTTTACAAGTTCCTTAACTCTTCACACGCACAAGTTCAAATAGTCCATTAAAGTCGAGTTTAGAGAGCAAGTTCAGAAAGCAAAAATTCTTTTACATGTCTGATTCCGGTTTGATATATGAAATACCTTAGCAATCAAGTAATTTTATTTTCTACGTGAATAAATATAAATCTATTATACGGTAATTACATTGCATGAATGAATAAAATCAAGTATAATAAAATATTGATTAGAAAGTTGTTAAAGCCATCTAGCCAGACTAGTACATTTAACTTATATTGAGACATATTTAGTGTATAAATGAAAACTTAATGGCTGAAACTTCATAAGTAAATGGCAAATTAGAATCCTTGAACTTTCGGCAAAAATACAAACCGATTAGGCATCACATAGACCGAGCTCGAATCTTTTAACTTATAAATATGTGACCAAATTTCTCGTCCATGTTAATTTACAATCTTAGTTCTCTGGTTAAGCGAAAAATTTTAAAGATATGGCGTTAATTGACCATTTAAATATACCATCTATTATGGTGGTGGGACTAATAACTTACATCACCTATTTCTACTATAAATATCTTACCCGCCAGAACCCTCTACCCGGTTCTCTACCACTACCATTCGTTGGAAATATCGGTTTTTATTTTAACGACATGTTTATTCAAATCCGTAAGCTACAAGCAAAATACGGTGACTTCTTCGAATTCTACATTGGAAATAAACGCTATATCGGTTTACTCAATGAAGACTTGGTAAAGGAAATTATGAAACCGACAATTAATGGTAGTTTTTTTCCACGTTATGACGATTACGGTGGATTAGAAGAATTAGGACACACTGACTCCGGGATTGCTTTTAATAACGATTATGATAAATGGCGATATCATCGAAAATTCTTCTCAAAAAGTATTTTATCGCCACCATTCTCTAGGCAAGCATTGATCTGTGTGCAAGATGGATTTAGGGAGATGAGCAGATATTGGGAACTATTAGGAGAGGAAGCTATCATAGATTTTCCAGAATGGATGAAAAGATACTTTATGGAAACAATTGTGACCACTACTAGTAGTAAACCACCCCATGCCTTAGCCAATTTTTATAAAAAGCTGTCTAATAGGAAAATTGGTAAAGAGGCTGACGAAAGTGAATTGTTCGTAGAAGCCGTTCAATTTTTAAATAATATCGTGCACTGGTTTTTGTTCGTTCCTGCATATGTTCGCCACTTCCCTGGAATTAATTCACGCACTAATAAGTATAAGGAAAAATATTTTTGGTTGAAGAATAATGTTCTTGAGACGGTTAAAGCTAGACGAGCGGAAATCGAGGTAACACCCGAGGATCAACAACTTATTCCAGATATGTTAACCATGCTCTTGACGGTCAATACACCACGCGACATTACTGAAAGAATTGCTGATGATCAAAATGATAAACCGATGACCGATGAAGAAATTGTTGGAAATTATTTTGAAGCCCTATTAGGTGGAATTGATAACGGATCAAATGCCATGTGTTTTTTAGTTTATTACCTGTCTCATTATCCTGATGTTAAACGAAAGTTACTGAAGGAGTTTGAAACAGTCGTCGGAAAAAATCCCGACATTAAGAAGATTACCCTCGATGATATTAACAAGCTTGAATACACCGAAGCTTTTATTAAAGAAGGTAATTTTTTTTTTTTTTTTTAATATTTAATATTTACATGTTAACCTGTTATCCCTTATTTACAGTAAACAGATTATTTCCTATTATCCCTAATATTGGAAAACGAAATAGAGATCCTATTGAAATTGGTGGCATGACATTCCCGGCCAATACATTATTTCTCACAAATAGCTTAGCTCTTTACACGCATAAGAACCAATGGTCCAATCCCAACGAATTTAATCCTGACCGATTTTTAAAGTCGAGTCCAGAGAGCAAAAATCCTTTTTACATGTTCGGTTCAGGAGAAAGAAAGTGTATGTACATATTATTACCTTGATACCATTGACAAGTTTGATTTCTCCTAATCTTTTGCAACTTCTCTTAGGTCCCGGAAGAAATCTAGCAATGATAGAACTCAAGACTACATTACTCATGCTGTATTCAAAATATGATGTAGAGCTCGTAGATATGAATGCACCCTTAAATTATAACGGAAAATTCCTGAGGGCTTGTGCTAAGTTAGAAGTAAAGATTAAAAAACGACGAGATTTGGGTTTTGTTGAGAGTTAGGGGTCTGTTATTGTTTTCAGAGCAAACAATTGTGCTTTACTGACGACCTACGGGCAATTGTTTAGTTTAGCCCAAGAACACTTTTTTTTTTTTGCAAGAAACTAAAAACTTTAGTATTTATACTAGAAACTACTGTATAACGATAAGAAATGCTAAAAGATAAATTTTTTATGCAATATATTGTGTAAATACGTAGCAATCATGGCATAATTTTTTTAAAAAAGTTACCGCATGTCGCGGTGTATAGTACCCCCTGTAGAAATTTGCCGCTCATGCGTATCTGCCTGCCAATTAATAAAAAAAATTTTTAAGCCGATTTTCATGGCGACAAAATTAATCGTGTAATAAAAATTAATTTTTATGCGCATACAAATAATCTACCAATGTGTCGCATATCCATTTTTTTTTTATCACTTCTTTCACACGGTCGGGCATTGAGTCTATAAAGTGGAGAATTTTATCAAATTTGATACTATCCCATGCAGCAGTAACGGCATCTTCCAAATCAGATTTGGTATGCGGTTTTTGGTTCTTATGAATCCATGTCTTGACCTCTCTCCACACATTCTCAATTGGACTGAGGTCTGGCGATTGTGGCGGCCATTCCATGGTTGTGATTTCAAGCTCAGACTTGATTTCTTTCACAAGTTTACACTTATGAATTGGCACATTGTCTTCTTGTAATATACCATCTTCTGTAATCAAATTTATTGGATAAATGGTATCCAAAATGAGGTCCCCATATTCTGCACCATTCATATGCGATGAAATTTGAACCAAATAATGCAAATTGTGTCCATTCACACATCCCATACCATAATTGATTGTTATTCACTTTTAATAGTTGTTTGGATTATAAAGTTTATCCTTTCGATATCAAATATGGACTTTTCCATAAGAGTCTGTACTAATGGAGGACTCATCAGTTTAAAGAACATTTCTCCAATCCTCTTTTGTTCAGTTTTTATGAATTTTTGTCCAATTTAATCATTTGATTCAATTTATTTTACTAATAAATAGTTTCTTACATGCAATATAGAAATAAATATTATTTTTTTAAAAAATTCTAGTTAAAGTATAGTGAGAAATAGGATTGGATGGAAATTCAGTAACTAATATGTGTTTTGGCATTCTTCTTAGTTCTAGATATAACTTAATCTTTTACAAAATAAATTATTCAAAATGATTGTCTATCACTAATTTTCTGCTACTATTCTTTCTCCTCAAATAATTAGAACCCCTGGTTAATTTTAATCTTTTGAGGTAGTATTTAACTACAATAACAGACTTTCCAATAATTCATACAATTTTAACAACAGACATACCTTCTTTTTTTAGCATTTCTATCATATGATATTTATTATCTGTGAGGTTATTTTTATGTTCTATTGATGTATATATATCAAAAATTAAAAATTTTTTTACTTAAATACTAAAATAAATCAAAACAAATGTGTTTTATTAATGCGAAATATGATATAAACATATTTTTAATAACAATAATTAATTTTAAAAATTATAGTAATATAAAATTTTTGATTATTAGCTTAATTTTGTATGACCCTTCTGTATATACATATTTTGATTATAGTTTACAGAACATAAAACAGAATATAGAATATATAAGATAAATATGTTTATAGAATATAGAATAGATTTATAAAATATGTGTTCAGATTTTTGAAATATATAATGAACTTGTAAATATAAAGATAAATTTGAAAATATAAGATATATAAAATAAATGGATTTGTGAAATACAAAGTATTTAGTATAAGCAAGTATGCAAAATGTAAGAGTTTATAGAATATAACATATATAGAGTAGGGTGAAATTTGTAAAATATAAAGAATATAAGGTGGATTTATATATAAAATAAAAAATCAAAATAAATAAATAAATAATGAATAAGTAACAGAATGATAATTAAGGAGCAATTAGATTTATGAAATAAATAAGTTTATATAAATAGATACAAAGAATATAAATATCTATAGTTAACTTCTTTTTTTTTTTTTATCTGTTATTAGACTAATTATGTAAACTTTATTAAACATTAGTATATATATATATGAAATATATTGCTAAAGCTAAATCTCTAATTAGTTTGCTTGTTTTGATTATTGTTACTCTAAGTGTAACTTCAAAATGATTTATTGCTCTATTACTAGCTCAAGTGAAAACCCTTCCAATTATTAACATCATTGCCTACAGATCACTATTACAAATCCTTTTTATGAATTCTAACAAAAATTAAAACCTTAATCATCTTATTCTATAGTTTACTTCTTCTAGTAAGATTTATTTCAAATCTTTGTCTTTTAATTTTTTTTCTTTCTATAAAGATCTTTTTGTAATTGTGATTTTGTTATTCTAATCTGAAAGATCAACTGGTTTTTTTATTTTGTCTTTTTTATAGATCTCTTGCACTTGTTATTATTCAATTATTCTTAACCATTTTTTATTAAAATCTTTTTTCAAAATTGGTTGCAAATTTTTTTCTATATCTTTAATATCCATTTTTAGGCTTCTTTATCTATTCTCTTCTAACAATATTTTAGATTTGATATTTTTAATATCTGATCATTTCATATTAGTTTTATACAGAAATTTGATGTATTTTAGTTTATTTCTATAATCTCTTCTATAAAACTAGTTATATATTTGTTCAATTCTTCTAATTCTACTTTGTCTTTAATCAAAAACTTTATTTCTTTCTCTTCTATCTTTTTTTTTTTATTATGCAGAAGTTTTCGAAAGTCTTTTAGAATATCTTTTATTTCTATGTTTCATATTTTTTGTTATTGGACTTTAAATATTGAACATTCTAATAGATGTTATATTATTTTTGTTTGCAGTTTACATGCTATATACTCTACTTATTTATATAGATCTGGTCTTATTATAGCTAGTTTGAGAAGCATTGATAACTCTTTATTGATTAATTTAATAAGAAAGCTTTTTTCTTAAAAATTTTTAAAAGAGATGTTTTAAATATACCTATTTTTTCTCCTTTTTTATATCAAATTCTATATATAATAATATTAATATAAAATCTATTAGTTTTATTTATTCAAAATCTTGTTTTAATTTGTTTATAGATAAACTTTAACTTTACTATTCATGTTTTTAATAAATTGTCTTATTGGATTTTCTAGAGTTATTTCATGTCACTTGATTTTAATAAGAATTTTGAATAAAGTAAGGAGTTTCCATTCGATTATAGGGAACTTTAAGGCTTTTTTTGTTAGAATATCTGCTTTTTTATTATATGGATTATTGAAGGATGTTTTGATCTTGAGATTCAGCTCTTTTTTTTTTTACAATATTCAATATTCTTGTATATAAAAACCAGTACTTTTCCTTCAATTATCTTTTGTAAATTCTTTTAAGATCTTCTTTATCTATTATTTTTTATTTGATAATACAAACTTGATTATCTGTAAAAATCTTAACCTTATTGTTTATTGGGACAACTAGTAGTATTATAACTATTGCTACTAGTTTTGTTCTTATGAATAATAACCAGTTACCTACTTTTGTTTGGAACTTACTTTTTCTATCATCTTTTTTTACTTATATCTATACTACTCTCATTTTTGTTTTTTTATTTCCATAATTAATAAGAGATTTATTAGAGTAAAAGATCAATGTTTCTTTTAACTATTGATTATATCAAAGTATTTCAATTAGATAATCTTTAATATGTTCTTTCTTTTATATTACTTTTGATAATCTGCTTTCTTCAATTCTTTGTCTATTTGATTTACTCTACTATTTAAACTGGATTTATAATTATCTTGAATTGTTTTTCCTATTGTTATTTTTAGAACTATTTTGAAACTTGTAATATTTAACTGCTAGACTCTTCTAATGAATTTTCTTATATTTAGATAAAAAACTTTAAATATTTTATTTCTTTTTGTTTTTATTATATATTGACTTTCAATTTCTTATTTTCTATATATTCTAAATATTTTTTTAGACTAATTTCCTGATTATTTGAAAACTCAGTATACTTGAAGTATTCTATTTATATTACTTATTTAGTATCTTTTAACTTTAGCTTTTTTCATATTATTATCTAATATCTATTACTTATTACTATTCATAATATTTGTTTTTTATTATAATCTAGTCTTATCTTTGCAATTACTGATTCTTATTTTGACCAATCTTATTTTTAGAGTTTTGTGAGCTATTCTAGTCTTTTTTCTTATATATTTTTTGTTATAACTAGATATCACTCTGAAATAGGATCCTTACTAGTTTTCAAAATTAATTTAATTATTTGCTATCTTTTAAATTTTTTAGTTTTATGGATGATCAGCTGATT